TAATATTGTGTCGGTACTTTATGTCCAGATTGGAAGAAAAATGTGTCGTACCATTTAAAAAAGTGTCGACATTTACACATCGGAACCCAGATTTATAATGTAATAGATAATTTTGTAATATAACCGGTATAAATATACCGGTTTTATGAGCGAATAGGTCTACACCTATATCGACACTTTCTAATATTGTGTCGGTACTTTATGTCCAGATTGGAAGAAAATGTGTCGATACCCATTTAAAAAGTGTCGGTAATTTTAAGTAACGGTTTTTCTTCCTTCATCAAAATATTATGTACATACAATAGGAGTCAATGTTGATACTTACGATATGGATCGTTGTCATTCCATTCCGTCTTCAAAAAAATCAGTTGATGTAGGCTGTGTGCTTGTACTCAAACTGCTTGACTTGAGGACATGTTAGTTTTTGTTATGTCCTCACCGTTGCAGTACCCCATCGCCTAATTTTCTTCTCGACCTTGTTCTTCGGCACTTCTCGCTTGCGTTGTTTTCGTTGAGGTCACGAACATTGTTTACTACAATGCTCTGGTTGACTGAATGATTCAAACCAAACGAGTTTCTAATTCTCTATTAGTTTTTTCATCTCATCTCTTGCGGTTTGAAAGACTCGTCTGTCTTTGATGCAATGTAGCATAACCTACTTGACCGTTGAACGTAGAGCAGCGAACCTTGCATTTGCTCACTTCTGGAGACACATTTAATCAACATAGCTGGGTGCAGAAGCCTTCGCATCATAGTCCACCTACTTTGAATCAAAGTCCCGGGAAAATATGGTGTCCAATTGCTTCAAAATGTGAAGTTGATGGTGACACGGAAGTCCAACGGTCTCGAATTTTTTGCAGGAGCAAATTAGAGTTTTCGTACAAGAATCAAAACTAATTTCAAATTTCCTATTTTTTTCTGCGTACTTTGACAAAATATGTTGACATTCATCTGATAAGGACTTATCTCTGCCTCAATCCGGTACAATTCTCCCGTATAAGTTCATCTTGGAACACACGAAAGATTCGCGGGTAAAAATCAGCGGCATGGCTTCAAGGTCGACCTTTTGTGATCTGGAAGGGCTTCGTATGGGAACTTAAGTAATCCGCTTTTAACTCGTTCATACGCATTCTACTAATTCCATCTTCAATTGCACGAACAACATCTAAATATGTCTTCTTGTGTTTCAGTGCAATAGCTAGTGAAGCATTCATAGACTCGCACCTTTGTGTTGAGCGAATATTGGCAAAGAAATGACCTTAGGTATGCTTGTGCCCATAGTGTCGTGTATTCCCTTCTCAATCACCCATGGATGCTTTTGGACGTTGAATTCTGAAACAACCGAACCATGAATATCAAATTCCTTGGTGTCCCCAGGAAGCCATGCATTTGAGAATGCTGCTGTAAACTTTGGGTCACCAAGTTAGCTGTGCATTGCGAGAAAGATACCAAGAACATAATCTGTGCTTAGCATAAGGGACAGATTTGATAGCCCTCTGCATTGCCCTATCCCCATCGTTACAACGGAAATAGGTGATTTATTCATCATGGCTTCTAAGTAGCACACATCGAAGATTGAGACGTCTCGTCAGCGATTATGGAAGTGGCAAACACAATTGTGTTATGGTGATGATTGACACCAACAATAGGCATAATTGGTCGACCATACAAATTATCTTTGTACGTTGTGTCGAACGCAATTACATCACCGAAGCATGTGTAATCCGATCTCGATGTAGAATCCGACCAAATAAGATTATACAATGCCCCCGATTCGTCTACCGAGTATGTCATAAAAACCCGGGATCATCATGTTTCTTATAATCAAAGTAGGCAATAGCGCATTCACATCCCCATCGACGATTTCCTTTGCTTTACCTCTTTGAAGTGCATTGTAGAGGTCTTTATGTGTAAATCCAACATTATGATAGCCCCCTGCCTGCTGCGTTAAATAGTTCATTACTTGTGACGTGCCAACACCGACCTCTTTCAATGTTGTTGCCTCATCGATATCAGCCTTACTTACAACTCTATTAGAACGCATAAATGGTGTCATAGCAGGTGTGCACAATGCATGATTATGTTTCTGATCAGACTTACTAAACCCACTGATCGTTTGTATTTGTTGTTGTAACTACGACTCTAGCCTTACAACATGTTCTTGTGACTGGCGTATGAGCACGTTGACGATCAACAGTATTGACTTTTGATACTCGAAACCCTTCTTTAGAACAATAAAATTCTTGTGTCTTCACATTTCCTTCCACGTCAAGCCGTGTTGTTCCCTTACGTGCACTAAACCCATGTTCCCGTGTGAATCCCTTGTAAAAGTACCAAGCTTGATCACGTGAACAGAAGAGCTGACCAACCAATCTGTCAGATTCATCAACATTATGTACTTCATGGCATTCCTCGGTTGGCTTAACATTGTCTACATCAGTATTATCCATGGCAAAAATTTTGTTGTGCAAGTTCAGTGCTCCAGGAGTTGATGGAGATGTAAGCAAAGGTTCATTTTGAACATGTTTCAGTCGTGCTGCTTTCAATAGGATGTGGCATTGGTAGTGGTAGTTAAAGGGTGGGTACAACATTAAATTCGCAGTACATATTTAGGTATATACAATAACTACAAGTATATATTATCATTAAATTTAGGTATGTACGATAACTACATATTTAGGTATGTACAATAACTACATATTTAGGTATATACATCTTTTGAGTGAGTTTTAAGATATTAATTTAGTAATTATAGGCGTCTAATGATTTATTTTTTACGTTACGGTATATTATTATTAAATTAAAAACAATAACATATATATTACATATTTATATTATCTTTGGTTAATGTTGTTAAATTTAAATTCTAAATATTATTTTATAAAATATCAAAACAATCAAATAATTTTTTGTGTAAATGAAATTATTAAATTAGTATTGTAGGTGGAAAACATGAAACACTATTAAAAAAAATTGAAACATAAATTACATAACTTTAAACAAAGTATCGATCCTTTTTTATAAAAAGTATGGACACTTTCAATATAATAGGTAAAAATATGATGTAATAGGTAGCGCTTATATAATGTAATAGGTATCGTTTATATAATGTAATAGGTAGTGTTATATGTAAAGTATCTATCCTTTTTATAAAAGTGTCCATACTTTTTTCACTGTGGAAAACATTAATTTAAGGTTATCTTTTGAGTGAGTTTTAAGATATTAATTTAGTAATTATAGGCGTCTAATGATTTCTTTTTTACGTTACGATATATATTATTATTAAATTAAAAATTCTATATATTATTTTATCAAATATCAAAAAAATCAAATAATTTTTTGTGTAAATGAAATTATTAAATTAATATTGTAGGTGGAAAACATGAAACACTATTAAAAAATTGAAACATAAATTACATAACTTTAAAAGAAGTATCGATCCTTTTTTATAAAAAGTATAGACACTTTCAATATAATAGGTAAAAATATGATGTAATAGGTAGCGCTTATATAATGTAATAGGTATCGTTTATATAATGTAATAGGTAGTGGTTATATTGTAAAGTATCTATCATTTTTATAAAAGTGTCTATATTTTTTTCACTGTGGAAAACATTAATTTAAGGTTATCTTTTGAGTGAGTTTTAAGATATTAATTTAGTAATTATAGGCGTTTAATGATTTATTTTTTACGTTACGATATATATTATTATTAAATTAAAAATTCTAAATATTATTTTATAAAATATCAAAACAATCAAATAATTTTTTGTGCAAATGAAATTATTAAATTAATATTGTAGGTGGAAAACATGAAACACTATTAAAAAAATTTGAAACATAAATTACATAACTTTAAAAAAAGTATCGATCCTTTTTATAAAAAGTATGGACACTTTCAATATAATAGGTAAAAATATGATGTAATAGGTAGCGCTTATATAATGTAATAGGTAGCGTTTATATAATGTAATAGGTAGTGGTTATATTGTAAAGTATTTATCCTTTTTATAAAAGTGTCCATACTTTTTTCACTGTGGAAAACATTAATTTAATGTTATCTTTTGAGTGAGTTTTAAGATATTAATTTAGTAATTATAGGCGTCTAATGATTTATTTTTTACGTTACGATATATATTATTATTAAATTAAAAGCAATAAACATATATATTACATATTTATTATTATCTTTGGTTAATATTATTAAATTTAAATTCTAAATAATATTTTATGAAATATCAAAACAATCAAATAATTTTTTGTGCAAATGAAATTATTAAATTAATATTGTAGGTGGAAAACATGAAACAATATTAAAAAAATTGAAACATAAATTACATAACTTTAAAAAAAGTATCGATCATTTTTATAAAAAAATATGGACACTTTCAACATATTATAATGTAATATGTAAATTTGCAATGTTATCGGTATAAATATACCGGTTTACTTATAAAATAGGTAAATATAAGCGCTACCTATTACATTATATAAGCGCTACCTAGTATGTTATTGTACTTTATAATATTTCCGATTAAATAATATAACATAATCGGTCTAAATTTTAACCGGTCACTTGTTTAACCGGTCACGCCATATATTAGCCGTTTTTTAGGCTCGCACCGCAAAACTACCCTGAATAGATATCAAACTAATAATTTATTAGACAAAAAGGATCAGAGAAGAAAAATAATAATAAAATAATAAACAACGAGGGTTGATATAAATGATTAGAATTAATAAATTTAAATTTATAAGGCTAATATCAAATTCTACCATTATCACTTTTAAATTACAATTTGTAAAATCTTATGTAAATTTCAATTGAACAATCTTAAGTATCCCCTGACCTTGATTAGAGGAACGACCCTTGATTTGAATTTTTGTGTACTAAAAAAAACTAAATACAAATATATATATATATATATATATATATATATGTATGTATGTCGTGAAACCGCCATTCTTTGTAAAAAGAGCAGTTCCAGCAAATTTGCAAAATGTTGAACTTTGAAGTTGACATTTTTGCAAGAGAAATCATCAAACCATCCTCACCACAAATCAAAGGCATGAAACCTTTCAAACTCACCTTCTTTGATCAACTCACCCCCGCAACTAACGTCACAAATATCTTGTTCTACTCCATCAGTGGAACGAGTTTCACTCCCGCCGTTATCTTGCATCAGCTAAAGACCTCACTCTCAGAAACCCTAAACATCTTATATCCATTTGCTGGTCGGATCAAAGACAACATGTTCATCGACAGCTTCGATGAAGGCGTTCCGTTTGTATCGGCTCAAGCCGGTTGTCGGTTGTCCGAGTTCCTCAAGCACCATGAGGTCAAGTCATTGAACAAATTGCTTCCATGCCCTCCATTCTCCAAAGAATTGAAAAATGAGGTTGTCCCCCTTTTGTGCCAAGCCACCATTTTCGCTTGTGGTGGGATAGCCATAGGGTTCGGCGGTTCTCATAAGTTGATTGATGGGCAAACGTATTTTAATTTATGCAATGTTTGGAGGACAATCTGTCGAGGTTCCCATTATCGTGATGTTGGATTTCATGGTTTAGCTGAGGGATCCAAGGTGTTTCCACCTCTAAACGAAGTGCCAGAAAATTACTTGTCAACGATGGAGAACTTGTGGTTCCAGGGATCTCATAATTACATTACAAAGAGATTCACATTCGACGCCAAGTCCATAACCGAACTGAGGGCCATTGCCAAAGGGGAACTCGAGGCTACACCCTCTCGGGTTCAAGCTTTATCAGGTTTTATCTGGAAACATTTTATGGCAGCGACGCGGACGATGTCGGCATCCTCGAAACCATCTATAGCAGTTCAAGCTGTGAACCTTAGGCCAAGAATGAACCTTCCTTTGTTACATAAATCGATTGGAAACCTCTTCTGGTTTGCAAGTTGCGCTGCAGATATCGCTGACGAGACCAGCACTGAGTTATTCGAGTTGGTCAAGTTGATGCGAGAATCCGTGGAAGCTTTCGATGATGAATACTTGAATTCATTACAAGGGGAACAAGGGTTTGAAGCCACGGGGGACTTAATTAACCAGCTGGAAACCCTATTTTCCCATGAAAAACCAGACATGTTGGCCTTCTCAAGCTGGTGTGATCTCAGACTTTACGAGTTTGATTTCGGGTGGGGCAAGCCGCAATGGGTTGCTCCATTCGGGGAAGTCGCGTCTGATTTTAGGAACCTTATTGTTTTTCTACCAACAAAGTGCGGGAAAGGCATTGAAGCATGGACAACATTGGATGAAAGAAGGATGTTTTTGTTGGAGAAAGATGCTGAGTTCCTCAAGTTTGCATCTCCAACTCCCAGATTCTCAAGTCTTTGATGCAAATTGTCTTCCACCGCTGGCACTGCCATGGGAAGCATTGGGTGGGATTTATGTTAAAGGTTAAGCTGGCTGCTGTTTGAGGGCCAAGAAGTCTGCTTGCATACTGCTACTGCTGTTTGAGTGGTACGCGTAACATATGCAGGAGTAATTGCATGCTATAAAGCGTGTAAATTGAGCTTTTGATTGGTGAATTAGGCAGCGTAATGGCGAATCTGTCATTTGTTGGCAGTTTGTGCCCGGTTTTGTTTAGTGGTATCTTTTGGAATTTTAGATTGTATACCGGTGTTGGTAATGTTCCATCCTAATATGTACTCCTTTTTTCCGACTAAAACTAATAAAATTTTTAATGAGATGTACAATTTAAATAAGTTTGATTCGATATATAATAAAATCATCTTACCAAAAATAAATAAATAAATATATAAGTTTTTTTTATCCATTGTTTCATTTCATTATTATTTGTTACTACAAATTTTTAACTATTTTGTTGTTGCTGGAGAAAAGATGCTGAGTTCCTCAAGTTAGCATCTCCAGCTCCCAAATTTTCAGCATCCTGACCTAGCTAGTACGCCCGCACAAGGTCCCGACATGAAGCACCTAGGATCCACACCTTTATCTTGTTTTTGGTTATAGATCACATTATCAATCCTTCCTTTTTTTCAAATATGGTGGGATTAAGGTTTTTCTGCATGTTTTCTTTGTTATTTTAACTTACATAATTCATTTTTTTTATTAAAACTTGTATAATTCATGCCCAAACTCAACATATTTGAATCATCAAAAAATAGTTTCGACAGTTTGGTGACTTAGCTGAGGACATTTAAAGAATCAAGTTGTTATCGATGTGAATATTATCTCAAAAAAGGTTTTCGTGATTGAGGTTACGACAGCTATTTTACAATGGTTAATTTGCATACCGTAGTCATTTGCTACGTCCGCATATCATATTGAGCTTTCCACTCGAACTTCATTTCGATTAAGTGGGAGCAATAAACTATGCCATCATGACGTTAACCCCCATGGGGATAGCAGTTTATTTTCGGGGTGCATTTGCCCTATTTCTTTGTGAGGTAAACCTCTATTCTAGTATAGGAAAATGTATTTCCCTGATTCAAACTTGGTTCATATGAGCCTATAATGAATAATGATCGAGGGTCTTATTAGCCTTAGTAGGTGATAGTCAGGCCTATATTTAAGCCCTGGACAAGTGGGACTCTGGTTAAAAAATAATAAATTATTTGTTTAGTCACCTATCTATTATTTTATTTTTGTTTCGGTTATTCAATTATTGTTTTTAAAATTGTACTTAATGATACATTTTAATTTTGTTGGTTATTCATTATTAAAAAATCAAGAACGATATTAATATGATATTTTTAAATTATTTTTCGCTTTTCATTAAAATTATATTTCTTCTTCTTCTTCTTATTATGTAGCTATTAGGGGTGCACCTTGAGCAACTATTCATGCCCCTCATTTTGTACAAGGCTCCTAATTTTTTTATAATATTGTTTATTTTATAATTTAACCCTTAAATTTTCTTTAATTTTAATTTTTTATCCTTATAATTGATGTTCTTAATTTTTGTAATCCTACTTTTTATCTTTATAATAGAGACCCTTAATTTTTTCAATCCCATTTTTTTTCATTTATAATTGATGATCCTAAGTTTTTCAATCCCACCTTGTACCTTTATAATTAAACTACTGCTTTTTTCAATCTCACTTTTTATTTTTATAATTGAGGTTCCTAATTTTTTCAATATCACCTTTTACCTTAAAATTTGATGCTCCTATTTTTTTAATATCACTTTTTAGCTTTATAATTGTGGTCCCTAATTTTTTTAATCATACTTTTTACTTTTATAGTTTAAGCCCCTAATTCAATCATTTTATACGATTTATTAACATAATATTAAATTAATTATTCAAAGTATTAGAATATACTTTCATTTTATAAGGGTCTAATTTTTAGTTTCGTTCAGGGTCCCGAAAATGTCTAAGATAGCTATGTATTTATTAGATAGTTTATTAACCGTACTAAAAAATAATTTACAAACAAATTTATTTATTTTTGCTTGCTCTTACAATTTAATTTTTTTCGATACTTATGAATGGAGGCCTAATGTAACACCCTTAACTCATATCCGACCCGAATACAAGTCCGAGGTGTCACATTGACTTTTCAAACTTTGACTCTTATAGAAAATCACGGGAATTTTTAAAACTTTCATTAAAACTAAATACATTAATTTACATAAAACCATAAAATACAAAATCGATCAGAGTATTCGTAATTAACACTTATTACATGCCCACATTCTATACATAACCAAATACATACTTTGTCAACTACTTCTGATCTGATCTCTTAGTAGTATTGCTGTCTGTGCTACTTCTATTTCCACTTTTCCTGATTCTTGGTACCTACGTGTAAATCACTTACACGCTAAGTCATAGACTTAGTGAGGCAATAAATGAATGTGCAACAATAAACTTATGAATGTTCATACTTACAATTGGATCATGACATTTCAATATACATGTATCTATCGCACGATAACATATAATGCACATACGAAACTTACCTTCTTGTATCACTTTCACTGTAAATCGGTATTTCAATTGCATACCCATGTATATTATTGAGAATAGAGGTATGTGAGTGCATTGAGGTTATGCACTAATGATGTCACCACAACTCGTATCAATTCCCTCATGGGGCACCGAACCTTAGTTCAGTATTCGTCCCGAAGGACCACGATCCAGAGGTCACAATATAAACTATTCATATGTGCCTTTAAACATATGTAGACTGTTCATATGTGCCTTTAAACATATATAAACTGTTCATATGTGCCTTTAAACATATGTAGACTGTTCATATGTGCCTTTAAACATATATAAACTGTTCATATATGCCTTTAAACATATGTAAACTGTTCATATGTGCCTTTAAACATATGTAAACTGTTCATATGTGCCTTTAAACATATGTAAACTGTTTATATGTGCCTTTAAACATATGTAAACCCTCGACTCTTGGCATGCCAACTACACTTATAGTTCTCATATCGTATACTATGGGCATTATTCTTATACCTTTCATATAACTTGTTCTTTCTCTTTTGTCACATACCACATGTATGTGTAATTATATATTTTATATCATATCACATGTATCACAAGTGCATACATTCACGTAAATCATGTAGCTCATATCACTTAATTCATATCATGTTCTCATATCACATATCATATCACCATAATTATCATGTATGCATGTTCACAATCATTGTATTATAAAAATCAACATAAGGATTAGACTTATCACAAGTCTTATTCCATTATACTATACATATAGTATGTACTTACCTTAGCTTTGCTTTGATTCGATTCTAATCCTTTGATCGTTCCGGAATAAGCTTACTTTTAGTATCTATATAATCACACATGGATCTATATCAGTATTATAACTAATATACTCTAATGGTTCACTCTTTAGACTAAGAGAAAAGTCAATTTCATCTTTTAATGAAGGTATGCATCGATGCACTACTGATGCATCGGTGCATAAAAGGTATTCGATGTAGTATTATTGCTGGGATGCATCAATGCACTCCTTATGCATCGATGCACCAATTGCATTCGATGTTTCATTATTAATGGGATGCATCGATGCGCTACTTATGCATCGATGCATGAATTGCATTCGATGTATTTATTTTAAAAGAGTGCATCGATGCACTACCAATGCATCGGTGCATATTCAAACAATTTCTGGTTTTAACCTTGATGCATCGATGCACTAGGAATGTGTATCGGTGCACTAGGAATGTGCATCGGTGCACTAGGAATGTGCATCGGTGCACTCTACCCAGAATCCTCTTTTTGAACCCGAAAGTTCATTCATTTTGGATTAAAACCTTCATGTTTAATCCCCTCTTTCATTCTTAACTCTAGTACACATCCTTAAACCAATTTATACTCATTTATTTCATCTAAAACCTCAAAATCCTATCTTCCATATGTAATTCAATAATTACATCAATTTTGCAACATGTTTCAAATCCAATTATATTACTTCATATCTCTTACTCAGATTGATGACAAGTCAAATTTAACTTTCAATTCTTGTTATGAACTCTATTCCAATATTTCATTCAAGAACCTCTAATCTTTAATCTTCTCTATCTCCTTTATCTTTTGATCTTAAGATAACTTAAGCTTTCCTTAAGCTTAATTATCATCTAATGATCAAAACCCAATCTTAAAATTAACAAATAATTAACTAAGTAGAAGACTCACCTTTGAGCTTGGAGTTACGAGAGGAGAGGAAGGAGAAGGAGAAGTAGTTCTGGAGAAATATCTCCCTACATGCTTATCTCTTAATAAAGAGATAAGATAATTATCTTTTAGATAAAAAGACCATTTTGCCCTTTAATTCATTCAATAATTACTAAAATTTTTAGGATTTATCTCCAGATAAATCATTAAACTAATCCATTCTTCTATTTTAACCACTAAATTCTGAAACTTTACCATTTAGTCACTAACCCATAGTTTGTGATGTTACACCTAACTTTTATATTCACCCCGAGCCACTAAAAACTCAGAAATGGGTCTGGTGATAATAAGATGATCCAGATACCTTTTTTGAGAATTGAACCACAAATGATGAACAATAAGAACCTGCCCCAATTAGAACCATGTTAAAACTTAAACCATAAAGGATACCAAAATAAGTAATGAGGAATACAAAACAAGCTTTGTTTTTTTATCATGTTAAATATATTGTTGTACAAAGCATGTTGGGTATGATCTCTTAAAGCATGAAAGGTAGTAAGCTTGTCACAGCCTGATTTTGGGGCAAGAAGTTGAAGGAGAATTTGTATCTGATAAACTAAAATGTGGACTACAATGGATCAAATTTGAGGAAATTAAGTTTCAAGGGGGTTTATTTGGAATAATTGAAAGTTCAAGGACATAATTGTTTTAATAAGGTTAATTAGGGATTAAATTGAATAATTTTGAGGAAATTAAGTTTCAAAGGGGCTTATTTCGAGTATTTTTCATCTCTTTTCATTTTTATTTTGTTTTATTTTATTGTACTTTATTTTATCTTGGCGAAATTTGTGAAATAACGTTTTTATGAGGGGAATCTATGAGAAAATCTCCTAACTACAAAGGAAGTACGTTCCCGAAGATTGTTCACACTTTTTAAATAAATTCGAATAAATAAAAGGATCGTAATTTAAATATATTTTTGAGTTTGTAACTCCCAATATTCAACAATATATAATCGTTTGGGTATC